AAGCAATGTTTGTCCCCCATCCCTCGTCTGCCATCCATTTACACAAACTTGTTAGATAAGTTTACTTGTTCTTTCCCTTTGCCCGTCTTGCTTTTAATATGAACCATCTCCAGGCACTCTTTCCTCATTATGTGCCTTAGAAATTTCAACGTTCTCTTTCTAATTCTAAAGTATCCTTTTTGTTTCCATTTTTCCTTAAAACTTCCTCATTGCTCACATGTTCTGTCCATTGTATTCTCAGCCCTTCATCTAGGGATGATTTGCTACTGTGAACTCAGCATGACAGGTACTAGCTATGAAGGTCTCAGCTGGTAGCACTAAGGAATGGAACTTGTCTGATAAAGTAGTGAAAGGCTAGAGATGTTTCATCTGCAGTATAAGGGTTGCAAGGTGGAGAATAATCCCTCACTGAAACAAGGGTCAAACAAGCACTTTTGAACTCTGTTGAGGCTGGAAATGGATGGATGATTAAGCAGCACCTGGATTGGTGTGGGTCAAGAAAGGTGGGAGTAGTTTTGTTTCCTGATACTTAGTGTGACTGGCAATTTTTGGCCACTACCAACACACATTAAACAGAGAAACTTGATTTCTGTGTTCTGTTTCTAGATTTCCAGCCATGAATGTCCAGAATTCCCAAATGTAAGATTAGCGTGGTGGAAACTCCTTTACATTGTTATAGGGATGTGTCTATGGGAGATATCAACCAATGGAAAGCACTGAAATTGTGCTTCTTCCAAACTTCTGATATAGTGTGACATTCATCTTTATGTAACTTAATCATAACAGCTTAAAAATAGTTAAGTTTGTTAATCTTTTAATTAAGAAATTATGGTGGATTATTTAATTATGGACAATTACAACTGCAGCTTCCTTGCTTTTGGGTCCATGATTGGTTCTCATGTCATTTTATTTTTCTGCAAATTCTTCTATTTCTACTGAATATAGTAAAATTGTGAAGTCTGCCTTGATCTATGGATTTTTAATTAATTCATATAAACAATTTAATACTCTGGACATCCAGACATAGATAATTTACCTTTATCTTGATATATGATTGTTTTCTTGCAATTAATCTCAAGTTCCCAAGATTCTTCCATTGTCTGAAAACCAGATGGCCCTAATACTGACAAGTGGTGTAGTACCTAGGATTTGATTTTTGGTGTATGATCTCTTCAATGTCAGTTTCTAAATTCTTATATTTCTACATTCAGCAGAGCAAGAGGATTTAGTTGACTTTGATCCATGTATTTTCATCTAATCACTTTTTGGTCTATGAACTACTCAATGTCAGTAACCCCCTCCCTCTACCTACCAAATTCTTTTCTTTCTACATTCAGTAGAATAAGATCATACAGTCTGCCTTGATCTATAGATTTTTTTTATTAAATAATTCATATAAGTGATTTAACATTTGAGTCATTGTAGTGCTTTTGACTAGACATTTTGCTTTTTATCTTGACATTAATTGCAAAAAGTCATGCATCAATCTCAAGTTCCCAAGATTCTTCTATTGTCTAAAATCCAGATGGCCCTAATGCTGACAAGTGGCCCAATACCCAGGATTTGAATCATCCTATAATTCTACATAGGATTGGCTGCATAGTACAAGACAAAAACACCCTTTACTAAAATTAACCAAGTTACCTTTCATCATAGAAACCATTAACCAGTTAAAACTGGCTGAAGAAGTAGATGAATTCCTGTTATAGTGGATTTATTCGATCTTGCTAAGTTAAACTAGTGTTTGATCTTTGCTGCTTTTGTTTCAACCATTCACTTATTGGTTCTAATTAAGTTTTTTTATTGGTCTCTGCTTGATATAACCATTGTTTTTCTTATTTATTCTATTATAATTTTACTCATCCCTACCTTTGTTAGTTCACACCACAGTTACACCCTGCAAATGTGTCATAAATAGTGGACTATTCTGCATTTTGATAGCATTGAAAGAGGAGAAAAAAACATTACTTGCTTTCAGTGAGAAAATGAAATAAAGGGAAGATAACAGTGTTTAACATCTTCTGCCAATCCCTCATAAATAATAGAATATTCCATTTTGATCATGTGGCTAGAGGAGAAAAGACACTATTTGGTTTCACTGAGAAAATGAATGAATGAAAGAAAGAAAGAGATAGAAGTGATAAACTGCTGCCAATACCTTATGAATAATGAACTATTCTATTTTGATATGTGGCAAGAGGGGCAAAGATACTACTTGGTTTCACTGAGAAAATGAATGAATGAAAGAAAGAAAGAATGGAAGACAGAAGTACTGTTTCAGTGAAATGGAAAAAAAGTTTTAAATTTCAAACCTTTTCATTTGTACCCACTTCTTAAAATAACGACCAGCATTCATATTTATGATTGTTATTACAATATTTTGTTAAGTTGTTATACTCACATATATAACAATGCAATAGGTGAATTTCTACAGATATTTTATTATGAGCTTATTCAATCATTAACTTAAGAATTAAGATTCAGTAGAGTATTAAAATAGGAAAAATGCAAAATTTCCAGGGAGTTAAAACTAGATTTAATTAATTTACTTTAATACTACAAATCTTCCATAAGTCGTCTTAATGCAAAAACAGGAACCTTACCCGGTTAAACAGGCAGCCTGTAGAGCAAAGTGCCTTGTATACACACCCGAGAACATTAATTTTTCTTCTTTTTCTCTCTCTGTTTTTTTTTCTTTCTTTTTTTCTTTGTTGCTGTTTAGCCTTTGACATTTTCGACAGTGTTCCCCACTTCTTTAGAGAAATGAAGAGTGTGGTTTTAGTCTGTCGTAAAGGAAAAACTGGGACTTCCTTACCCTCCATCTCTTTGTCACCACTTGTTATTGTGGGATCTTCTGTCATTGAGATTTTGTAAGTCCTGACATAAGTGTTAGATTTCTGTCATCCAATTATTTGACTGACTTTCAAATTCTGATTTGAAGTCTTGAAATTTTTCCAGGAAAAAATATCCCCTCTTCAGTGAATCTGAAGGTTATATTAATATTGGTTTTTATTTTATATATCAGATTTTCTATATGAGTAGGATTATTTATTAGATATTTCAAGACTTTCAGTCACTCTCAGGATCACATATAGACGGCCATAGCAAATACTGAATACATATATAGAAATTCATTAGAATTTATTTTACTATAAAAATGCATTGAGCATTTTTAAAGGTAGCATTTCTTAAACAAATCCATTGAAATGTTCACATATAATGATGTAGCAAATACTAAAAGCATAACTTTCTTGGTAATTATTTTACTACAGAAATACATTGGAAAATATTATGGGCAAAATTTACTACTAAATTCATGTTAAAACTCTATATCTCTCTCCACACACACATGCACATACAAAGTCTGTCAAAAGAATGTATACACATTTCAATAAAGGAAAAACTTGTCCTTAATAGTTTTATCTGTGACTAGCAGTAGAGCCCGGCGTTGCCCAGGGATGTAACAGTAAGAGATAGATCAAGTATCGACCATCATAAAGACTGTAAAATAAAATTGACAAAGATTATTGTTTAAGGTTGACGGACACGCATGTCTTAATTAATTTTTTTTTTTTAACGAATTGGTCAAACTCAAACAAAAACATTTCTGTTGGAGAATGCAAATTTTCTACAAAATTTTTTGAACATTCAGGCCAGTAAATGTAATTAATATTTAATTAAAAAACAAAGCATTTACTTAAATAAGATGGACTTAATCCAGTTCATTTTATATATATATATATATATAAATTCCCAAGAGGATAGAATCCAAGTAGAACTCAAGGTCCAGGACAGAGTAAGAATATAATATAAAAGACTCAAACACTACTATTCCATGGTTATAATTTATTATATTGGAATCATAATCATGATCCAATTCATCAGACCTACAAATTCAAAAAGAAATTTCTAGGTCTGATGAATTGGATCGTGATTATGATTCCAATGTAATAAATTATAACCGTGGAATAGTAGTGTTTGAGCCTTTATTTATTTTTATATATATATATATATATATATATATATATATATATATATATATATATATATATATATTTTGAGTCAACAGTCTGTTTCATGCTAGATGCAATCGTCAGGCCTGATGATTGCATCTAGCATGAAACAAACTGTCGCCTCTAAGTGTTGACTTCAATGTTCACTTTTATATTTACACACACACACACACTCACTCACTCACTCACTCACTCACTCTCTCTGATATTGAGCACTTTATCCCATAAATATAGCACACCATCAGACTATATTTTTTTTATATATATATATTATATAATTGTTATGATAGTGAAGGAAAAATATTTAGTCTTCAAATTTGAAATTTAAGAATGCTCTAAAATGAATATTCTTAAAGCTAGCTGTGTAAAGAAAGATGGAGAATGTGAAGTGATATAATGAATTGGCTGATAAACGAAACTGTAAATGTTGTTGAAATTTTAGTTATATTTAAAAAAATATATAATTATTTTGCTTAATTACTTATTTATTTTAAATATTTAACACTCTTGAGTTACCTGTTTTCTTTTAATTTTCAAAAAATCTTTGTTCATGTATGTTGACTTGGGAAAGAAATATTTCTTTTAGACTAGACAATTGAAAAAAAAATCATGGTGTATGTTTACATTTTGGCAAGAATCAATAATTGCACTCTCTTTTCATCTAAGTTATTTTCTCATTTAATAAGTATAACATCCTTGAGATCAAAGTGATGGTTGAAATTATTTCTTGTGTATAACTAATGCCTTGGATAAATTGTTATGTAGGAGGTCCTTACTGTGTTCATAAATATGTTTGTATATCATATATCTCCATAAATAACTGTATGAAACCAGTTCTATTTCTTGTTGGTCCAGTGAAGTTATGCAGCAAATATTGGGCAATAGACTTTTGAAGTTTTTAGAGAGAGACCCCCCGCGAAAAAAAAAAATGTCTTCATGTTTTTGCTTTGTTTTTGATGTTTTTATTTTCTTTATTTTTGTGAGCAGCTGAGGAAACAAAAAAGGAAAAAGTCTACCAACAAAAGACAAAAACAAAAAGAAGCAGCAAAGAAAGAACGATTGGCCAATATTGATTATTTAGAATTTATGAGCAATGAGCAGATTAAAAAATTGTAAGTAACATTTTTCCTCCTCCATTTTCAATTCTCATTTCACATAAGAACACACACGTGCAATATGTAATTTTTAAGCAGGTAATGGATTTTTTAATCTGACATTTATTATATTTAGCAAAAATATCTGTCTATATTTCTGACATGAGGTATTGTAACAATTTATACAAAAGAAAGGGTTTGGTTTGAAATTCAAATGTATATCACTTGAAGAAGGCCGAAGCATACAATGGCCAAAACATAGTAAATATGACAATAAAGATGAAAACAACAGTTCGAGCAATGTAAATAGTGTATATAGTGAGTTTAAATAGATATTACCTCTTTTTTTTTTTCTAAATAATTAAAGAAAATGCCCCCACCCCCCTCCACCCCACAGGCACACAGGAATTGAACCTTTATTCCTTTTTAGTCTGGGAAATCAGTTCCAAAAAGAATAAATATTAATTTTCTTTTGAGAGGCACATTTTCTTTTAATAAAACTTCCAATTTCTAAGTACGTATATATTAATTTCCCTTTTTTTCTTCCTTTTTATTCCTTTTTATTTTTTCTTCTTCCTCCTCTTTCCTCCCCCTTCTGCCTCCCTCCTCTTCATTTCTTCTTCTTTCTCCTCCTCTTTCCTCCCCCTTCTGGCTCCCTCCTCTTCCTTTCTTCTTCTTTCTCCCCCTCTTCCTTTCTTCTTCTTTCTCCCCTCTTCCTTTCTTCTTCTTTCCTTCCTTTCTTCTTCTTTCTCCCCCTCTTCCTTTCTTCTTCTTTCTCCCCCTCTTCCTTTCTTCTTCTTTCTCCCCCTCTTCCTTTCTTCTTCTTTCTCCCCCTCTTCCTTTCTTCTTCTTCTTTCTCCCCCTCTTCCTTTCTTCTTCTTCTTTCTCCCCCTCTTCCTTTCTTCTTCTTCTTTCTCCTCCTCTTCCTTTCTTTTCTTCTTTCTCCTCCTCTTCCTTTCTTTTCTTCTTTCTCCTCCTCTTCCTTTCTTTTCTTCTTTCTCCTCCTCTTCCTTTCTTTTCTTCTTCCCTCCTCTTCCTTTCTTTTCTTCTTTCTCCTCCTCTTCCTTTCTTTTTCTTCTTTCTCCTCCTCTTCCTTTCTTTTTCTTCTTTCCTCTTCCTTTCTTTTCTTCTTTCTTTTCTTCTTTTCTTTTCCTCTTTCCCTTTCTTTTTCTTTTCTTCTTTCTCCTCCTCTTCCTTTCTTTTTCTTCTTTCTCCTCCTCTTCCTTTCTTTTTCTTCTTTCTCCTCCTCTTCCTTTCTTTTTCTTCTTTCTCCTCCTCTTCCTTTCTTTTTCTTCTTTCTCCTCCTCTTCCTTTCTTTTCTTCTTTTTCTCCTCCTCTTCCTTTCTTTTCTTCTCCCCCTCTCCCTTTCTTTTCTTCTTTCTCCCCCTCTCCCTTTCTTCTTCTTCTTCTTTCTTTCTCCTCTCCTTTTCTTCTTCTTCTTTTTCTTTCCCTCCCTTCTTCTTCTTCTTCTTTCTTTCTCCTCTCCCTTTCTTCTTCTTCTTCTTTCTTTCTCCTCTCCCTTTCTTCTTCTTTCTTTCTCCTCTCCCTTTCTTCTTCTTTCTTTCTCCTCTCCCTTTCTTCTTCTTTCTTTCTCCTCTCCCTTTCTTCTTCTTCTTCTTTCTTCTTTCTTCTTATTCTTATTCTTATTCTTCTTCTTCTTCTTCTTTCTTTCTCCTCCTTTCTTTCTTGAATTGACTATTACTATTTATCACAATTTATTCTGCCAGAAAACAAAATTGTTATTTTTCATGTTGTCTGAATTTCTTGTTCTCACCAAGTAGAAGTAATTGGCCCAATGGTTTTGAAGTCTTGTCACGGTTTTTGATCTGTACTGCTTAACCCTCTTTGACTGAATTCATAGAAATCTTTAAAAAGCCACAACCTATTTTTTTGCAATGCAGGCTTATGCATTCAGCCAGATAACTCCATTCAAATTAGAGTTTGTTTCATTCAAAAAGAAGAGATTGTTATTCAAAATCAAAAGCCCATTATCTATGGAACAGATTCTTTTTATTCAAAATAAAGATCCCTTTGGCTTATGGAAACACTGATTCTCATATGATCATCAAAGTTAAGCAACATCGAGCCTCATCAATCCCTAGATGGGTGACTACTTGGGAATACCAGGGGCTGTAAGCTTGGATGCATGGGTGGTGTAATGGATAATGGCTTTAAATTGTTAACTGAAGAAACATTTCGATTCCAATCAGGTTTCTTATACTCACTTATGCACAAATGCTTTTGGGAAAGGTATGAATCTGGGGAATCTTCTACAACAGCCAGTTAACCCCTGCTAGGAAATGCACTATTCCTGTGTGACTTTCACCATCTTACAAAATATATAACAAGCATTCATTGGTTAATCTACTCAAAACTAGCTTGCTGATTGGTCAATTCTGACCAATCAAATCGCCTGCACGTGACAAATCTGTTTTCCTGTGTTTTCCATCTGAGCCTCCCATGTGGTGCAACAAAATTATAAAGACAAAACACGTGTAAACTCTCTTTCTTGCGCGTCTCATTCCTTGCTGCCAAGATGTAATCTTCAAGAACTCCCGTCTTAACTAATGAAGTCAGACGTTAAAGACCATTACCAACATTCACGCAAGTACAAACTCTGAAATATCTTCTGAACTTTTACCAACTTGTACAATACACTATTCCAAACATGCTAAGAAACTTTATTCTTCTAAACTACAGTTTAATAATTACTTTCACTTTATGAGCTCAAATACAAATATTTCCAAATCTAAGAGACATAACTCTGTCACACTTTCAGCTCTTATGCTTGTACATCAAATACTTAATAAATTCAATTATGTTTTGAAACAATACATTATGTTTTTGAACAATTACTCTATGTCTTGTATTAATTGTTGTGGATGGAAGATTATTGAACACACAGAATTTTAAGCCTTCTGATAATTCAAACCTTCTATTCCTCTCCATCACACATCTTCAACAAATCCACCTTTTCTCTCCTCCACCTATGGGTTAATTATTAATACCAGTCTCACTAAACCATTATTATTATTATTATCATCTCAAAAAAAAAAAAATCTTGCAATCTAAAAATATTTCCTAACTATAAATAACCTGCAAAGGGTTAATAAACCGTAAGAAACGAATCAACCAAAAAAAAAAAAAATCCTGTAGATTCCTTTCTGTGTCAGCTATCAACACTGTGTCAGATGTATGTCTTATGATTGTATACAACAATAATTCATGTAACTTTTATCATTATTGGCCAAATATTCTTACAATCTAAAAAATTTTCTGAGTTTAAATAACCTGCCAAAAGTTGATAAGCCATTAAAAAAAAAAAATTAATGAAGATACAGTAAAACCTTGAGTTAGCAGTTCCAGAACCAACAGCTGGATTTAACTTTAAAACTTTATTTAAAGGTATATAGTAACTTAAAAATAGAATATATACAAACACACACACACACACACACACACACACACACACACACTATTTACATTAATTTTGTACTGTACTGGGTGTTTTTTAGGCCAGGAATAAAAGTGCTTCAAATTAACAGAGAAACAGCTTTGACAATGCCCTCTCCCCCTATTAGCCCGTTAAATTGAGGTTCCACTAACTTTATTCAAGATAATGGAACTTATTCACTGCTAAAAAGATGAGGCCATTGATGAATTGACAAAACCTTTTTCATGCAAACTATTTTTTTTTTTTGTCTATTTGGGATGTCGGTAAAAAAAAAAAAAAAACTGAATATTTTTTTTGTTTTTTGATACTAACATAGACATGTTGTAATATTGGAGCTTTGGCTAAATATTTTTTCAGAAAATTGTCATGTTAGATAAAAAATGGCTGACATGGAAAAATGCTTCCAAATTTGAGTCAGCTTGTTCTTCAGTTGCTTAGTATTGCATAAAGCTTCAGGATCAGCAGAAAATTTTGCTTTCAAAGAACTGTAAACCTCTTGGGCTGGACATTGAACTGTAAGGTGGCAAAAATCTAACAGACATGTTTTTAGTCGTAATAACATAAGTACAACTCTTGAGGGGTGGAGTCTCACATTGTCCATAGTGAATAACAATTGTATTGCTTTGAATAACAGTATCTTTTATTTTGAATAAAATAACTTTATACTGAATAAAAGAATCAGTTCAATGAATAAGGGTATTTTTAATTTGGAGAGAGGTATCTGGTTTAATGAATAAATCTAGAAAAAAATAAAAAAAGCAAGAAAATTGTAACTATGCTTTATCTAGCTGAAGATTTGTACTTCTACTACTTGTAATCAAGCTAAAAATTCAGATCAAAGAAAATCTGGTCATAAAATTTAGTTTCTTTATTTAAATTTTGTTTAGTCTGGCACAAGACCATAGTACCTGGTGTCCCTAAGCAGTCACACATCTCCACTTCTATTCTTTTACATATTACCAGCTTTCAAATGTATATAAATATAATCTAGGTATCTGTTGTAGTGTAATGGTTAATGAGCAAAGTTGTTTCTTGTGGGTAGGAAAATGAAATTCGGATAGGCTGCTTCTATTGGTTAAAAATTTATTGTAATTTAAACTGGATTCTTTTCATTTCAGGGAGACATCTAAATGCACAAAGTTGTTAACTGGAAAACGACAGAGGAAAATTATGAAGAGATTACGACATGCTGCTCGTGAAAAGAATGAAGAAGGTAACTTGAGAGGATTTACAGTTAGGGTGGGGGAGAAATGTGTGGGTCACACAATGACATTTCAGTGCTAGATGAATTACTTCATAGGAATGTGTCTGATTGTGGATATGTAGCAAGTCCTCTTCAGATTGGTGGCTAAGCCACATGAAGACAGCATAACTGGTCCTTATGAGATACAAAATGATGGATTGCATTCGGGACAGACGAGTGTGTGTGTGTGTGAGAATGTGAACAATAACAGTCAACCATTTGGAAGGCAAACATATCTTTATAATTCTAGTGCTTGACACTAAGAGCATTAAATAGTAGTAAGTAACAACTATTAGTAAAAATATTCCCTTGTAAATTTTATAATCAAATCTCCCAGAGTGTACCCATGGTCAAATCATGCTGAAAATATCAAACACAGTCAGTACTTAGATGGGGGACTATTTTGGAACACTGAAAAATGTTCTGGCTTTAAATAACTCTGTGTTAAGCCATAAGAAATCTGTCCGTCACTCATTTCTGCTGAGTGTATTTATATACACTATTTTGTATTTTCACAAGTAAAAATGCAAGAGGAATGCTTGAGAGATCGATATTTCAAAACCAGCCTGATTCCTTATTTACATTATTCGGACCATTGTCCTCATCTTTGTTGCCATATTTATTACAACGTTTTGGCTGTTGTACGCTCCAGCCTTCTTCAGGTGGTTGGAATGTCGAACTGAACCCTTTATTTCGCTCAATGGAGTAGACTGTGCCATGTTTAATAGTTGTCAGTTATCAGTTATCTCCTGTTAATTTCCCTCTAAAAGTTCTCCACTGCCTTAACCAGGTATTGAACTCACACTGTGCCATGTGTCCTCAAGGACACATGGCATAGTGGATAAAGGTGTTGGTTAGATCCAGTGACAGGACCCAAAGAGTGTGAGTTCAATATCCGGTTAAGGCAGTGGAGAACTTTCAGAGGGAAATTAACAGGAGATAACTGATAACTGACATCCATCAAACATGGCACATGGAACTAGAACAGTCTACCCCAGTGAGTGAAATAAAGGGTTCAGTTTGACATTCCAACCACCTGAAGAAGGCCAGAGCATACAACGGCCAAAACGTTGTAATAAATATGGCGACAAAGATGAGGACAATGGTCCGAATAATGTAAATAATGTACATAATACCTCATCTCAGAAATATAGACAGACTCAGCTTGATTCCTTTTGTATTCCATTGGTGAGATGTAAGTTCCACTTGAGCAGCTTCTTCCTATGAACCATTGCTTGGGTGAACCAACTTCCAAGTGGATAGCTTTTTTGGAGTAATAATTTTTATTGATTAACATTCTTCAGCCCTTTTTAGGGTGCAACACTTGTCAGAATAGAAAAATATTGATTACTGACTTTTACGGAGTTATTGGCCTGAATCTAAGTTACTTTACTCTTCTTTATAAAAGTCAAGTTTGAAAATGCAATGTCATTGGTATTTGCATATTAGTTTCTTTTTAGAATATTTTAATCTTAAGACATTTAATTTTTTTTTTAAATCTATAAATAAACAGCAAATTCTGTCTGTCTGCCCATCAGTGTGTCTGAATCCCTCTAACTCTGGCCATATTTGCTCTACAATATTATAAGAATATATTCAAGCACCTTCATCTGGGATTTGTATGGGGTGAGGAGGGAACAGTTAAAATTTCAAATTTTAAAAGTTTTAATTCATATCAAGTTTAAAGTAACACAAAAACTTTGAATTTAAAAAATTCTGTTTAAAATATCTCCAAAACTTAGTGAATTGAGAAAATCAGTTTTATTTCTTCAAAATGCCAAGTAATCAGAATTAAAGTGAGATGTTTTTCATGATGTGAGGTTTTTTAAAGTTCTATAGAGTTTGTGATTTGAAGAACTCAATTTTCAGTCAGACTTTGACTTTCTGTTGGAATCTGACTTCTAGTCTAAGTCAGAGTTAAAGTTTTGAAGTTCCATGGAGTGAAATGAGGAATTCAAAGTTATTTCTTCAAAATTATGTTTGCTGTTTTCTAAGCTTCACCAGAGGTCCCGTTAGTTTGGGGGCAGAGGCCCAATTAGTCCTCCACAGGAACCAGCTTAAAAGTCTGCACAGCTAGTTAAGAATAAATGGATATTTAATTTTGTTTATTTATGTAAGTTTTTGTTCTTTACTTAAAAAAGTTAATATGCATTTATTTATTTAAAAGAAACCATTTTGTAACCCCCAACCTCAAAAGTATTTCTACAGAAAAACAACTAAGGGCAATAACTCTGTAAAAGCTAGGGATCAATGTATTTATATTATAAACAGGACCCCTTTCTAAATCAATAATAAAGCAGTATTTTTTGGTTCTGACAAGTGTTGCTGCCTAAGGAAGATCTAAAGAATGCTTAAGTTTTTACATCCAAATGTTTGCGCTGAGTTAACTCCCTTTACAGTATTTTATAAATTTCAAAGCATGTATGTAGCGGCGATAATCTTCCAAGTAGACGAGTCCTCCCTTTCAGTATCCAAACCTGACCAAAGATAAAAAGTTTTTTTTTTATTTCCCTTTATTTTTTTTATTTTTAGTAAAAGTAAAAAAAATCTGGCTATTTTTTGTCCGGAGTTATTTCCCTTGAAGCAATACATAGAAAAGTTCGTATGGTCTTGATTTTGAAATCTTGATGACAAAAACGTTACATATTTTGTGGGGATGATTTTTTTTTTTTTTTTTTCCTTTCCGGTTTTGCTTTTAAAGGGAAAATACTATTAAGAGATGCAGTAAAGATCTTGGTTCAACCAACAAGTACTTCCAAAAGAAATACTGATATTTGGTCAGATTTGGGGAAGTGAACTGAACTTTTCAGCCACCCTCTCACCATTCATGTATCTATATATGGATACACAGAGGTGTTTGGGTAAAAATTCTAACTTGGTTTAAAGCAATCATCACACATTAATCTGTCATAGTCTTGCCATACAAATCAAGAAAAAGGTGAAAAAAAAAAGTAGTTTCTTTGACCAGGTACAATTTTATTAGAATATGAATAACAATTTTTCATCTCCTGCAGGAATATATCTCTGAGTTTTACCAAAATCTGATCTTAATTAAAATGACCTTAAATGCTTTAACTCTAATGCTGCTGTTGTTTTCATTATTAGCAGCAAATGTCAATGTGTTTAATATATCTATTTACATCAATCTTTCCCATTTTACCTTTCTTCAAACATTTGTTGATATCAGTCCATAACACCATCTTAGCTGTTATCGGCTTCACTGAGGGGCATGTTGAAATATCTGCTTGGTACATTTTAAATGAAGTCATAATTTTCTCCAATAACACATGATCTTGATAAGGTATTGCTCAAAATCTGACATGGTTCTCATAGAATTCTTTTGTTTCAAATTCTTCCACCTTCTTCAATGCCAACTTTAGATATTTGTCAAACTTCCCCAATTCTTTTGATTCTATCATTCTCTTTTCTTACTATTTTCCTTTCTTTTTTTCTTCTGATGAGTCACCCAATTTAATAGTTTCTTTTTTTAAATGTCATCCCAATACAACTCCTGGTACACGAGATGTTTTTTTTTTTTTAAATACTAATTGTTCATCGAAGGTAGAAAATGTTATGAGGATATGTAGGATAGTTAATAGTTGGTGTTAGACTTAGAAGAGGTTAAGATTATAATAATGGTAGTCATGAGGGCATCCTCTTCTGGAGGGGCTCTCTGACATGAACTCCCTCTTTGCAAAAGAAATGAGGATAAGTTGACCCTGTGTATATAGCAGATCCTAGCTGTGAAGCTCTGAACTGGTGGAACTAAGGAATGTAGCTTGTCTGAACATTTTACCTTGAAAATTGCAATAGGGGGCTGTAAGTTGTATAGCCAATCCTCTGGTCAATATCCCTGCTAATTATTCAACTACTCTAACTAGCATGTAAAATCCTGTAGCCTAGAGGTGAAGGTAGTTTTCCCTACTACTCCAAACATATTTGGATAAATACCTATTTTTAACGGTACAAATTACATTTACTGAGATATGACAGAGTAAAGAAATAACTTTTTTTAAAAAAACAAAAAACTATTTCACCCACTCTCACTTCTAGAAATGAATTAATACATTAAGATAACAAGGGTAAGTAAAAAAAAAAAAATTGCACTTTCACCATAACCTATCTTTAGGTTTGTTACACTGCTTTCTGGTCATGCATGCTTAGTTGAGTCTGTGGTCATGTGATCAAAGTTTGAGTCTGATTGTGCCAGTATTTTCTGCTGATAAACATGGCCACTCCATTAGCAGTGTGCACAGAGAAACAGATCTGAATCTGTAGAAAACATGCTACTTCATTGATAACTTGCCAGTTTGCCATCTTTCAGGCTTGCCGAATCTTTTTGGTCTTGGTGGAGGAGAAGGCTGATGTCCTTCTCCCGTGCATTATACTTGTCTGGTCACTCTTAAACTTCTCAATCCCTTCATACACACCTCTACTATATGGTAGTGCACTGTCACTGTATTGTGTTAAAAACCTTTGAATAATTTCAGCCCTCAACACACTTAACCAGAGAAATCAGATCACTGCTCTTTGGTGCAACCTATTAACCGAGCGGCCATGTTTACACTGTAACAGCAACAAGAAAATTGGCACAATCACATGACAATAGTACCAACTATAAACATTCACAAACAGAAAGCAGTGTGATATAAAGAAATGTTATGGCAAAATTTGACATATTGGTTTTTATTTGGCCACTACCCCAGCTAGAATACTATGGCTTGAATTCATATCTAAATGTCCTGGAAGTTGTACTAAGTAGAATTTGACTATGAAATTTAATGTCCTTTCTTAACAATAAATCCAAATTTGGCTGTTTCTTAATTAGGTTTGTTGAATTCAACTCTTGAACTTTTTCATCTATTGCAAAATTCTTCAGAAAAAAAAATTATATATACACACACAACTAACTAAGTCATTCTAACCTTCATTTTTTTCTTCCCTCTCAGTTAAATTTGAAGATGAACCACCCAAAGCTTCCGGTTCAAAAGCTGATACTGATGTTGAAATGAAAGAAATATGACATGGCATTTGGATTACATCAGAATTTTTTTTTTTTATATGTAAAATATTTTTACAATAAAATATATCTATAAGAAACGTTTTTCTCTCTCTGCCTGATAATTAAAAAAGAATTGTGATATCTTTTGAAGAAAATTCAATACAGTAAATGCTATTTGAAAAATTGTTATAAATTAAAGTAGTTTGATAGATTCAAGTACTGTTAGTAATTTTACCATACTATATATAAAATAATTTGTAGCATCTATGAACTATTTCTATTAATTGCTAAAGCAGTCATCACATTCCAACCAGCTAAACAATTATAAAAGCCATCAACAAAATTATGAAGTACACAAAGATCAGACTGAAAATAAAGTTATTTTTAAAGTGGAATATGCAAATTAAGAGTTCTTGTTTAATCTATCTATATATAAAATTCTGTGACTTCACACCCTCCAAAATAGCCATACATTGACTGAACAAAACCAAATTTTTGGGAGAAGTGCAAACAGATAAAGGTGTGCAAAGTACAGTTGGTTTTTATTTACTAGGGTGCATAGCTTTTAACATACAAAATACTCCCATTTTAAAAACAATTTAATGATTACAATAACAAATACTTATTTAATAAAAATGCAATATTGCTTTTTGCGTATCTTTTAAGTTTTTATATACAAGAACCCAGTTTGCTAGAATCACAAGGTCAAATGCTTCAAAAAGTTGGAATTTGGTTCTAGAAATATTTATGCATAGCCAGTTGTATGTTGCATGCTCAAGAGTAAGAAATCCCAAGAACTTGTTCTTCATTGTTAAAAAGGAAAATAAATTCTTACAAAATATTGTTTACCATGAAGTACTATAAAGAAATTAGTAAACCGTAAAGTAGTTTTTTTTTTTTTTTTGTCAGTGTTTTTCCAAACAAATCTGCTTATTCAAATTTGATTGGTTTGCAGAATTGAATGAAACAGACTGTAAATCTCAGCAAAAAAATGTTAGCGCCAACTTCAACAATACTGTGGGGATTTCAACATGCTGACATGTGTTATAAAAAAATTAATTTGATATAATTTTATTTTACATAATCCATAAATTTTAAATTAACATGAAATGCAAGGAAACAACAAGAAAGAAAAGTCTTTTGAAAATTTTTTATTTTCCTTATTTTTCTTCTTTTTATGCAGAAGTGGAATTTGCAGTTGAAGGTTTGGAATGGGAAAGAATGCAAGGAATAAAAAAAAAAAAAAATATATATATATATATATATTCTCTTTTGGGTATTTCATTTTCTCAATGGGGGATTGTTTGCTTTTTTTTCTTTTCTTGCCTCTACCTTTCACAAGTCACAATTTCAGAAACTAATTTTATTTTTTTTAAAGAAACACCCAATTAACAATGTTTTGTTTTCTATTTAATGATAGACAATGATAGATTCTATAGTTTCTTCGTATTCAATATCGCAACTCCAGCAGTAGGGGGAAAAAAAAAAAAAAAAAATAATAATAAAAGGGATGAAGTTGCAGCATGTAACAACACATTCATAAAATGGTAAACTTTTATTCCACTGCAACTAACACTCACTCATTCACACCTTTTTCTTTTTCATTCACACCCGTGTCTTTCTGACCCCCTCAGCTTCAAGAATATTCTGGGGTTGTGTTGGTCTTTGTCAAGTTAACAGTTCCATTATTCGTCCCATTTGTGTGCATGTCACTTGTACTGCTGGGAAAAACCTTTGCACGACTCTTTTTGCCAATTTTCTTCCGAGGTTCAACTAATTCGTTGCACATCCCGTTTGTTGTTTGGGTGGAACCTGCAGGACTCTGCCAGATGTCATCGACTGGCGAATAGCAGCACCATTCTTCGGTGGTGGCATCAAAATATTCCAGAGAGTCGAGGAACCTTTTGCCACTGAAACCACCAACAGCAAAGAGTTTATTTCCGAGAGAAGCCACACTGACATTTGCTCGTTCGATGCCAAGTTGAGGCCCCAGATACCAGCAGTCATTTTCAGTGTCATAAATCTCAGTGGAGCGCAAAGATTGCATGCCATCATTGCCGCCAATAACCATAATTTTTCCTGAAATTCAGAACAAATTTTAGAGTGTACATAGAATAAAATGAAGGATTTGGGATGTGAACTGACAAGTCACTAATAGAAAAGACAGTCATCAATATAGTAACAGAATATGACAAATTTTAAGAATAGGAACTACAAAGAAACTATTTGTAACAATCAGAAAAAGGAGTCCAAGGATTACAACTCAGTTTGCATCTAAAAGAAGCAGAGGAAAACGGTAACCTATTTAACAAATTTGATCAAATACTATAAAAGAAAAAAAGAGGGGTTGTAAAAGTGCAAATATTGCTGAGAGCAACAAAAGGCATGAAGCTGTGGAGGGCCATAACTGTTCCATGGATAATTATTCTCATTGTCAAAATGGAAATTAAAATTTTCTGAGTTGAATCAGAATTTTAAAAATTGGATAAGACAAATTTTCTCCAGCAATTTTCATTACAAAGTTGGTCATGCACTTACCATTGATGATGTCAGCTCCAGCACCTCTGCGAGGAGTGTTAAGAGAACTGTAAACTTCCCAAGTGTTGGTCATAGGGTCATAAACTTCAACCGAATTCAAACAATTCCAAGTGCCACTGCCACCAATGGCAAAGATTTTCCCATTATACACACAAACAGCAGCTTGAAAATGTCCTACAAAAGAAAGTCACAAATCAGACATTTGCAGCCACTTCCACACTGCGTAGAAAAGCAAAGAATTGCTCACTACATCCAGATACAATTAAGTATAAAGACACATTGTGAATTTGAATTTTATTGTTGTAATGGGGAATACCTTCATCTCATGTGCATCCAAATGGCCACTTTGAAATGTCAAACCCACCCCATTAGTGACTGCCCATAATTTACTGAGTGGCAGGGGAGCAAAGGGAATTATTATAAATAATGTTCTGCCATTTAAATTATTCTTTTTAGAGGCTAAAATGTGTAAAAAAAAACATTTTTGAATATATATGCAAAGCACACCAAAATATTAATATATGGGGGAAAAAAATCAAATTTTGCCAATAATTTTTTAGAAAAGTCAGTAATATTCCAATTTTTGGGGTCCTTGAAATTATGACATTTCAGCCCACCCATCCTTCTGAGTGACTCTTCTTCCAATCAGTTTCCATACAAATAATAGCCACCTAAGGAAGGCTGAAGCATGAATTAGGTGAAACATGGTAAAAGCATCAAGAATACATGCAAGTTTGTCCCCCAAAACTTTTTATAGCAAGAAATAAAGAAAAATGGCTGAACTCGCAGGAAGTGAATGTTGAAAAATTCTCCGCTTGACCCATTTAACAAAATGACTAAACATCAGATTTCTGTCGGGAAAAATCCCATGTTGGTCAGTCTGAGAACTTTTCAGCCAGCCACCTCATTTGTAAGTTCACGTGTAATACTAACTTACCAGCATTCAGAGGGGCAATAGGTTTCCAAATATTGGTGCTGGGATCATACATTTCACATTCAGCAATACAACGTTGACCGGCACTGCCTCCAATGCAGTAAAGACAGTCGTTTAAGGCTACAACACCTGAAAGAAGAGAGAGAGAAAAAAAAAATTGATGGCAATTTTAGAAAGCTAATGGCAAATTCAAGGGATGAATATATACAATTTGCAGTATTTTATTAGTGGGTAGGTATTTCAAACGCCTAAACTTATGCTTAAGAAAATATTTTAACAAATTTTGATGACCCTGAAAATTTCTAGTCTGGGCCAAATTAAAAAGAAGAGTTCCCTTAATAAAAATCTAACAATCCTGCATGACTACACCAAGGTGTGGGAATGAAAGTTAAGCTCCACCAATTTAGTGTCATTAGACTCCTTTGAAGCTGCTCAGGGAAGCAATTTCTATAGCAAGTAAGCATTTATGGAGAGGAGATTCAAGTGCCACACCCAAGCAGTTTTGAATTCAGAGTTGTGCTTCTTCTAGACTGGTTCCAATCAAAACTAGAGAACCCAGTCTACTATTCAACCCATGGGTGGGGGTGGAGAGATGAATTCATACCTTTTATAAAGAGTATTTATGTGAAAATGAAAGCATCAAACTCGACTGTTTGACATGCCACTGTGATGTGTACTCCCACATTAATGTACTTAATCTAAAAGGTTACCCCAGTTTTAAAACTAAGTACAGTGGCATGTCAAACAGTCGAGTTTGTTGCTTTCAAAATAATATAAAAGAAAAGCAAAAACCAAGTGTAATATTTTAAAAATAAAATTTAAAATATTTCAAAAGACAGAATCTCATTCTCACGAAGAATCAAAGTCTAGTTCTACATTAGTATTTTCCTCAAATGACAATTTTTATCCTGATGAATAAGCAGGTCTTGAATCTTGCAATAACCAAAATTGGCAGCACAAGCAAATCAAACTCACACTTTTTTTTTTTGATCAAAATACTTCAAGAACTGAGAAAAGTCAAAGGAGGTGTATTCTCTTACCTGGGCAAGAACGTTCTTGAAGCATTTCACCTACAAATTGCCACTTGTTGGTTTCTGGGTCGTAACATTCAACAGAACGCAATTCTGTGTGGCCATCAGATCCACCAACTGCATAGAGTTTGTTGTTGAGTACGGCCACTGCAACACGGCCACGTGCCACTTTCATTGGTGGGATGTTTGTCCACACATTGTTCTCAATATCAAAGTATTCAGCACTTCGAAGACATTCACCTCGGTCATAACCACCTGGAAACAATCACAATAGTAAAGTCAAGATCCATGACAATGTGAATTGAATATTGCTGCCACATCTGCTCTGGTGTTTCTGCTACGTATTTAGAGATTTAACCATTACCATGTTAATTTCTTTCTAGAATTGTTCCCCTGCCACTGCATTTTTTTTTTTTTTTTTTTTTTGAACACCTACTGTTTTAAAATTATTATAACTTTCTTTGTATTGTGTGTATAGATCTTAATTTTTGTACACAACAAAAAGAATGAAGGAGTACTATTTTGATGTAATGCATTACGTTTTACATGCATGTTTTGACATTGGAAAAAAAAAAAAAAAAATAAAATTCAATGTACTTTAACTTTTCTTGCTCCTTGTAGAGTTCTGGGGGGTGCAATAAGATGCAAAAATCACTAAAAAGGCTTCAATTTTGTCAAAAAAGTGACAGGTTTCCTCATGTTTACATATGAGAAGACACCAGCATTTGTTTGTTCTTTCTTTCATCTGACAAATAAAGTTATTATTTCATCATTTATAAATAGACAAAATAATTCACCTTCAGAAAGGCTTTCAGATATATCAATGGTCACAAGTAGCTTCCATAAAGTTAATCAGGCATTAGTGGTCAGCGTCACTTTCCCCCCATGTCATTAGCATGGTTATCTTCGACCACTTAACCCTCAATATCCCATTGAGTAAAAGCCTCCAAAATCATCACCAGAGTCTAAAACTATAGGCTTCACTGGATGTTGATTCGGCCTTTTTTATTTACAAAAAAAAAAAAAAAAAAAAAAAAATAAAATAACGTGGCTTTAATTGGTGTTACACTGTGTGGAGTCTAAAGAAATCAAACCGGTGTTGGAAAACGGAAGTTTAGCCTTCTTCCAAAGCAGTAGTAGGCAATTTCCAGCTTAAAATACCAGTTGACAGGTGTTTATTATAGCAACTGTCTCAAGGCGACAGAGTAGCCAAGAGAGAATTCAATAGCAACAATTGTCAACTGCAGTGTGGTAAAGGTTAATAAAATACAAAGAATCTGCAATGTTATTGGTCTTAACCTGGCATCTTTGCTTCAGTCACTTTCCCAACAGTGCAATGTAATTTGTCTGTGCCTTTTCTATATGCATATTCATGGTAATTATTCAGATGAGCTTTCCTCTCTGGTACCTAAACGTTATGAATTTAAGCTCAGTACTAATTTAGAGGCTAGGTCTCATCATTTTACAGTCAAATTAGCTAGATGTAACTGTAAGTCCTATGCTAATCGTTTCTTCTCTCATTTGTGGAACACTCTTTTGGCTTCTTACTTTCTAGTCAACTTTATCTTCAAAAATTTAAATGCTGTCAATCATTATTGTTCTCTCTCCTTAATGTTTTGTCCTCTCACTCACTAACCACTTGCATCTTAGTGGCTTTATTGCCTTACCTGAGATGAAATAATTAAAAAGAAAAAAAAAGTAGTGTCATATCTTTGCACTCTGAAGTATTATACCCATGCACAAAGTTTTTGTTAAAATTTCTTTCAATTTCATCTCAGCCTAGTTCAATTGGTGAATGATCTTGAGTACTCAGATATTAGACGTTTTATATTGAAAAATCTTCCAATGAAAACAGAAACCAAAAAAATGCTTTGAAACATAGAAAGAATAAGAAATTCCTAAAAGAACTTTCATTGGTTGGTCTTTAAGCAAATTTGTGTAAATGAAAAATTGTTGCCCACAAATACGCTATTAGATGTAATGGGGGGGTTGCTGCACTGATTAATAAATGGATGGCAATGTAATTATTATTTAAGTTCATTCTAGGATGGAATAAACAAGAGCGACCAATTACCAGTCAATAAAACCAATTACTGATTGATTACTCAGCACAATGTTAATATGGATACAAATTGCATTCTATATACATTCCAATGTCTTGCATAAACTTAGCTAACAAATCAAACAATATATTTCAAGAGGCTGTGTGCCCATCTTAGCAATATACCATCTATATTAGAAAAATTATAACAGTAACATGAACATTTGTAGGAGTTGACTGACAAAAATTCAAATGTAGTTGGCTTTGAAAATACATCTGGAATTAGTTTTTCATTCATAATTTAAGACAGGTCGTTCTTCCGTTTCCAACTGTTTCCATTTTTATTTAATGGAAATAAAAAGAACCGTCTCCACATTATGTTCACACTGATATGAGCACATTCACAAAAAAGTGAAGTGACTAGGTGGTAATGTTGAAGTGGAAATCATCTAGCCAAAGGTTTCTATGGCTGAAGTTTTAGCAGTTGTCTTGCATGTTGGAGACAAAAACTAATTGCTTAATGACAGAATTTTATAATGTTCAGAAAAAGATGCAAGAAAGAACCAGAGCCTGACGCAAGTAATTAAAATGTGTTTGGGACCACATTGACACCCCCCCCCGGATCTAAAAAAAAAAAAAAAAAAAAAAAAATGAATCAAATTTCATGTCTTTAAATACATTTATTTTTTTCTGTTTGCATGCAATTATGCAATAATTTAAATCAAAATGAATATAAAATAATTTCAATTAAAGTAAGTTTACATTTTCTTTCATCAAAGAATCCACCACAAGCATTTATTACTGCAGAGCAAATTCTTGGCATCCTTTCTAGTAAATATTATATTGGTGAAAGTGATTCCCAAGCAGTGTTGTAATGGTGTAAACAACTCTTGTTTATTCTTAGGCAGTTCACTTTGAATTTATGTTCAATTTCATCTCAGCCTAGTTCAATTGGTGAATGATCTTGAGACTGAGGGGACCCAAGTCATGATTTGCAAAATTCCCTTATCTTCCTTTGATTTTAGATAATTTGTACAGTTTTAAAGCTGTGTTTTGGATCATTATCTTGTTGCAAAACAAAATTATGTCCAATAATGTGGCAGCCAGATGGAATTGCATGCCTTTGAACAAAGTCTCCAGAAATCTCACCTCTAAAACATCCTGAAATCATTACAGCAGCACCACCACCGTGCTTGACAGTTGACACAATGCTATTTTCACTCATTCGTTTGGAAGGAGTTTGACAAATACTCTTGATTTACTTGCAAAAAGCACAAATTTGGACTCAACAATCCATAGGAATTCTTTCTTCCAATCTTCTAAAGTCTAATCCTTGTGCTGTTGTGCCTATTTTAGTCTTTTCAACTTATTTTCCTTTTTTAACTGATAAAACATCCTTTAAACCCAACAGAGAAAAGATATTCGATGTTGACCTGTAGAATTAAATCCAGCAGTTAGTTGGGTAGCTGTTCCTTTTCTGTTCCTTTTGCTAGACATAATCAAGTGTCTATCCTCTGCAATAGATGTTACTCTGGACCTCTGAGATCCTTTTTCTGTCAACATTTGCTGCATGTCACTGCAGGCAATAATGCACCGCATTTAATGCTCTACAATTCAGAAAAGGTATCAGGTTGAAACAAAATTTCCAAAGCTTATGCAACTAAATTTATAACGCTTGTAGAAAAATGTGTTTTAATTTTATATAAGGGTTTCCATATATACACAATAGGTGAATTCATTTATCTAAATATGCAAGATTAGCCTTTTCTATTAACTTAGAGAAACAATGCAGGGTGGCCCCAAACTTTTGATAAGTAGCCTATAAAAAAGACAAAAGGAAAACTTATATATTAGCCAATGTTTTAAGATAACATCTTTTCCCTTTTGTCTTTCTTCATATTGTCCTTTTACAGGTAATTTTTTTAGTTATATCTGAAATTTCACACACACATACACAATGTTAGTCATTAATGCCTACACACAAATATTGTGAATGTGGGAGGAATGGCAGGTAGGTGGTCTGGGGTAAGAGAGAATGACTCACCGACAGCAAAAAGCTTTTTGTTGAGGACAGCTAATCCAAATCCACATCGAGCAGTACTCATTTGGGAGAGCAGAGTCAACGAGACATGTCTCTCAATGGTGTTCATCTGGATGCTGTTGGTTGATGGGGTGCTGGAGGGTGATTCTGAATCAGACACAGTGCTTGTAGGACTATGGGGCTGAGATGGGCGTATATGAAGGGTGACAATGGCCAATGTTCCCTTCAACAAGGTCACACCCATAGATGTACGCTCTGTAACAAAAAGAAGAGAGAAAATGTCAAATAGAAGATTTAAAACAGAGAAAAAGGACAGAAAGTTAAAAGCTGCTTTATTTAAATATTTTATATGCATATAGAGAATGTTTAAAATTCTGGAAATATATAGCCTTTTTAAAATTGAATAAATAAAATACAATATTCAAAAATCAGAAAAGAGGTATTTGTTACATTGCTACAACTTGTATCAGCAAGTAGGGCATCTCAGCATAGAGTAATGGTTAATGAGCTACTCTCATTCATCCATTTATTCAGTTAGCACATTTTGTGCTGCCGTTGTGGTCACCGCTCCCCTTTATCTCAAAATCATGATTCATGGCGACTTTCAAGGCAGAATAGTGCAATGGAGTGCCAGTTCCTTTTGCACCAAAGATGTTGAGGTTACCCCGTCCCTCCTCTCAGAAGTTAAAGAGACAAGACCTATAAGGCAGCAGGTGGTTTGAATTCAGTTTTCCTTCTCCTAGATTGGTGATGGTATAAGGAGGCCGTACACTGCCCAGATTACATGCCCCCCTACCTCTCCTCGGCCATATTGAAAAGACCCAAAGGAATATAAGGCATTACATTTGGGGATGGCTTGGCTGCAGGAGTTTCCAGAAAGTTGTCAGTGTTGACAGCCAACTACCTTCGGAGCTCCAATCTGGGTTTTCTGTCTGGACTTACTTCCATACCCTTTTTCATGTTTCAGATATGACCGCAAGGGCAGCAGAGGTTTAAAAACCAGAGTTTTCCTTCCATCAGATGGACTGCCTTCCTGAGCTACTATAGTTGATCATTATTACTAAGTAAGGGGTTTGATTGTCACTTGGTGCTACTTGTGATCTTGTGCCAAACTATACTAAGTTAATAATCTGTACAAGAACATTTTAATTCTTACATTGGTTTAAGAGCATTAGTTTGAATATTAAATCCTTCAACAAATTTTGACTGCAGCAAAGAGAATTATTGCCTGAAGATGTGTTAGTTCACTTAATCCAATATGATAGATATATAGATAAAGACTCTTACCAGCTGTTTTGTGTGAGGCCAAAAGTGACCATTCCTTTTCATTCTGAATCCATTCACAATCACCAGAACCAAACTTTCTCAATTGATTTGGAGAGCAGCTGGTTGAGTCACACTTGGTCTTTATATGAATCAACTAATCATTAAAACAGGAAGACAAAAATAACATAAAATTTACAATAAATGCTTTACTAACAAACTACTCTCAACAAGATTACAAAATTATGTCTTACCACAAGCAAGCCTAGAAAATCTATGCATGTATGCATGCGTAGTAGTTTATAGTTTAATTTGACTCAATTTTCCTTCCAACTTAAAAATAAATAATTTTTTTTTTCAGTTTAGTCACCAACAGATAAGCATAAAATCAGAAAGATGCCTTCTTTTATTTCCTTACCCCTCCTTTTTTTTTTTTTTTTTTCACTTTGTGGTGATGAACAGACAAACATAAAATGCCTTTATTCCCTTAAAAATAAAATTTTTTCAGTTTATAGTCACAGATAAGCATAAAATCAAAAAGATAATCTTTTATCAATACAAAAAAACCAAAAAAACAAACTTACATGCTTCTTTCTGGTGAGTTTCTTGTAATCATTAACAACATCATCTTCATCATAACTGGAGTCATTTAGATCCCGACAGTCCTGCAAATTTTGATCACTGTCCAAATACAAAACATTGATCTGAAATAGAGTAAGAAGAAAAAAAAAAAAAAAAAAAAAATAAAAATTTAATGATCCTTTTTGGGACAGGAAAATGTTTTTTTTAAGTCAATACAATGAGGTTATTCTAACCCTACACACATTTTTGCCCACATAGTTTTTTTGCAAATATTTTAGAAAATGAAGAAAAGATTTTTTATTTTAGTAGAAACCCTTTAAAGACCCGAAAGCACTGAGCAGCAGAAAGTGATTCTCGAGGGCAAAATAACAATGAGTTAAATTCCTTTTTTTAATAGTCATCCTTAGAGCAGCCAAGTGAATCTCTAATTGAATTTCATAAAACTGCTGACATTAAACTAGTTTCGCCCTCAGAAGAGTCGGTTTTTTTTCTCTCAAGAAAGTAACGATCATCTTACCTGTTCAGCCAAGGTCAGCAAAGCCCTGCTGTCTTGACTAAAGACATTCTTAGCCCAGTTGAAGACCAAATGGAAAAGATGAGAATCGTGTTTATTGCCAAGAGAAACATCATCAACACCTGAAAAGACAAAGTTTAACAGTTGTAAACAATACCACGATTTTGTTTCTAGAGGAAAAAAAAAAAAAAAAAAAAAAAATCTTTATAGGATTTTACAACCCACAACTATAAGTATTTCAAGATGAAGTATAACAAAAACTGAATGCAAAAAAGAATTTTTTTAAAGTGGTGATGGTGGGGGAGAGCAAGCATGGAGACGAGGTTGAAATCATACCTTAAATACATTGTACACCGATACCCAGATTATTTATTGTAAAAATAAATAACAGCTTCCCTGTATCTTTTCTATAAATAATTTCATGGTAATTAGTATGATGTTCTTTCTGCTATGGTACCTAAACTTTATTGGTGGCAAGAACTCATCATTTTAGAGTTGAAATAGCTAGATGTAACCGTAAGTTCTGCAACGCTACTGAAAATGGCTTACCTCCAGGACAAAAAGGGATTCGGGCTTGTCTCTCATAAAATATTCCCCAAAAGAAAACATCAGCTTTACAAGTCATATATTTAAAAGATAAATCTCACAGTAGATATACTTTTGCAAGAATCTTTTAACATATGCAAATTTAAATTGCTATTCAATCTATAAAAAGTGCTTAAAGAGGTGGCAGACAGAAATGCAACTGGTATAGTGAACAGGAGATAAGTATTGTTGAATTGTATGACTGAATGTTGAAAGAAATAGATTAGGGAAATTTATTACAAGCCAAAATACACTGACTATAAGTTTTATGCTAATAGTTTTTTTCTCTCTTGCACTTCTCACTTGTTGAAATCTCTTCCAGCTTCTTGTGTCTCAGTTAACGTTGATCTTCAAAAAATTTAAATGCAATATCAATTGTTGACTTCTGTCTTCTTAATTCTTGTTCTTTTATTTTTCTCTCTCTCTTTAATAGTGTTTTTCCCCCCTTATATTCTCTAACATTCAGTAACTTCTTAGTAGCTTACTTAGAGTGAAATGTTATTAGGTGGATAAAAAAAAAAAAAAAAAAAAAAAACATGAAGAAATTTAAATTTAGATGGCAAAAATTTTAAAATAGGTAAATAAACATAAGTTATTGCTTACTATCTATCAGTTTTAATCTTTCATTAGAAAACGTGTCAAAAGAAACACACTACTGCCCACTCAAATGTCTAAGTACTTTACCAGTCCATCCATTCCAGCCCCACCAGTATGCACTGCTCTTATCAAAACTTTTATAGATTTGACTGTGATGCATGTACCCGATATACCCTTATAAGACTGGATGTTATACCGATTATACTGGGCTTTGTATGAACAAGAGAGAATGAGAAATTGAGAGAAGAGAAAAAACAAAAACAAAAAAAAACAAAACACTAACCAATAATCTCAACCAAAATTCGAGGAAGAGAAGAGATTTTGGTGTTGTTGGTGATTTCGATAATATGGTTCTGAATATATCGGTCGACAACGCTTTTCAACTGGGCATCGATTGCAATGCTCCGGATTTCTGAAATAGAATGCAGTGATTAGAAATGGAATTTGGCAATGAGAGATAGGAAGGAAAGAAAGATTCTCTAAGATTTTGTACTGAGAGAAAAAAAAGACTAAAGAATTTGGGTCGAAAGGTGGGAGATGTTATAAAAAAAAAAACAAAAAAAAAACAGTATTATCAAAAGAATGAACTTTTTATAATTTTAGTTAATAAATTAAAAAAAAATAAGAGAAAAAATTGGGTTATTTTCCAATTTTTACCATCATTATAAAACATTCTTTGGCTTTTTAACAATATAAAGATAAACAGTGATTACTTTCTCATTTACAGAAAACAAGCATTTGTTTTGCACTGGAAAAAAAAAAAAAAATTTTTTTCAGCTATCCTCAAGACCTTGATCTTCAATATGTAAAAATACAAGGCCTGTCATTTTCTCATTTTTCTCTCTTTTCATTTGGCTTGTTTAACTTCACTAAGGTCAAAAAGCCAAAGGATGAACTATTAAAAGACTTTTGGCAATATGGCAGAAATTAAAAAAAAAAACCCAAATAGTTTAAAAGAGACATTATTCGGTAGAAGTTACTGAATTTGTATAAGACTTACAAA